CTGCAGGTCCCATGTTTCTTTGGGGGGGGGCAGGAATCCACTAATGTTTAAAGTGGTATCGTCATGTTTTAAATGTACAGTGGTACCTCGGGTTACAGACGCTTCAGGTTACAGACGCTTCAGGTTACAGACTCCGCTAACCCAGAAATAGTACCTTGGGTTAAGAACTTTGCTTCAGGATGAGAACAGAAATCGTGCTTCGGCGGCATGGTGGCAGCAGGAGGCCCCATTAGCTAAAGTGGTGCCTCAGGTTAAGAACAGTTTCAGGTTAAGAATGGACCTCCAGAACGAATTAAGTTCTTAACCTGAGGTACCACTGTATGGTGAAAATGCGGCCTTGGGGGGCAGGGAAGATGCCACAGCCTGCAGGCGGCACGGTGGGGTGGCTTGCCGAAGGGAGAAGCTGTGTGCCCCTGCTTGCCCTCGGCTACAATCTGAAAGGCCACATTTGGCTTGGTGGACCCAGCGAAAGGTGCACAGGGCAGGTTTAACGGACACAGAGCACAGAAGCCTTTCAAGCCAATTCTCCTTCTGCAGTGCTGCCACAAGAGAACAGAAGTCTGGCTTGGGAGAAATCTTCCTTTCCCTGCAAACATTCAAAAGAGCAACAACGTCAGAGGCCTGCTGTGAGTGGAACGTGTCAGCATTCTTTTTTATGATGTGGACTGCGAGGAAGGAGGAACTACACCTTTTGATATTCAGCCAGCTTCTCTACACAGACATGCTCCCCCACCCCTTCCCTAATACAGCTCAAATTCTCCCAGGTATCGATAAGATCAAACTTGGAAGGAGGAAATAAACCCCGGAGCAAATTGACTCACCCAGCAGCGAGAGAAGCCAGCCGGTCAAGAGACAGGTGCCATGCCAGGGAGCCATGCCAGGCTGGCTCAACAGGGCAAGGCGGAGGCGCAAGGTGGGACACTCGGATCTACAAAAGACTCTCTCTCCCCCCTGAGAGCCAGAGGCGAGGGGAGGGCCTTATGGCGTTGGCCGGAAGGCAGGTGTCACCAGGTAGAGCGGAAGGAGGCGGCAAGGCCCAGGAAGAGACCTGATCCTCCCCTGCCCTCAGGGGAGGGATGACAAAAGCATCTCAGATATTCAGGGAAACCTGTTGAGCTGTCGCAGGTGGGGAGGAGCGCTGCGTGCCAAAGAATCGCACAGCCGAGTTGCCAGGGGTTTTGCAACCGAGGTTTGGAGTGGTTTGGAGCAGGCACAGGCTGGGGGAGTTATGTGGGGAATGTCTCTGCCAAGGAGCAAACTCCTTGCTCTCTGAATCATGCGATGCTCTTGCCAAATTAAAAATGAAGGAACATTGCAGAATGCAAAAAACCCCAACCCCCCCCGGGGGGGGGGAGAATACAAGAGGAGACTGCCCTCAGCAATTCTGCAAGGGTTGTTTTCGGATGTGAAGGCACGGCGATCTCTCTCCACATCCGACCCAGGAGTGCAAGAGAATTCTCCATGCCAGGCAATAGCTTAAGGGGAACGGAGACAGGGCAGAACAGGGACTCGTTCAGAGACACAGCAGCCAGGTTGAATGCAGGGTCTGAAATGTAAGGTGCAACTACAACAGCTCTTGCAGGTGACCTTCCAGCGTCTGCTTAAAGACCTCCGTCAAAGGACTCTTCTGCTGTCAAACAGCTCTTACCATTAAAATGTTAACCAAAATCTACATCCCTCAAATTCCTGCTTCATCTTCTGTGCGAAAAGCCCTCCAGATATTTGAAGATGGCCATCACGTCTCCACTGAGTTTTCTCTTTGCCATTTGATCTTTTCCTTTGACCAGGATTTCAGCTTTAAAGCACACCTGTAGTAGCTTCAAGCCAAGAGCCCTCCCTCCAAAACACAAGCTTGGACCCCCTCCGCTGATGCCATGCATCGCCTGCAGAACCAGTTATTCACATCAGGCTCCACCCAACTATTAGCGGCCGGCATGTATATTAAACAGGGTTACACACAACTCCATGGCCCAGTTCTGCAAAACAGGCCTGAGGCAAGTTTTCTCTCTTCGGCCAAGAAATGGGGTAGGAGGAGTTTGGAGACTGGGCTGCAGTGAAGGGAACATCACAGAACTGCTTTGACTGTGGCAGAACCCAACACAGAAGGCCAGGGACGTCGTTTGATTCTTGGAGGCACCAGGGTCAGGTCATCTTCCAAAGCAGAGAAGCTGTTTGGGTCTGGAGTTCATGTAGGAACTGATGTTCACTGGCAAGTCTGAAAGGAAAAGTCCTTGCATCAAACTGTCCGCGCCCAAATTTTATTGCAAAATTTCTCAGAGCAGCTGCTAAGACAGCGTTACTAAAAACTAGGGAGGGACATAGCCTGCTCCCATCCCCGAAAGCACACACATGCACACACAAACACACGGCTAGTCTTCAGTTTGGTGCTCTCATTCCTAAAAAGCAGAAACTGGTTCTTCAAGATAGACATCCTAAAATAGCCAGGGCTGAGCTGTCCATCAGGCTCTGGGAAGAGAAAAATGATGCTGGGTTGGGGGGGGGCAGTGGAGAGAGGGAGAAAGAGAGGGAGAAGAAAAGGAGTAGCTGATGGAAAAGAAAAAGTGGAGGCATGGTATACAGTGGTACCTCAGATTAAGTACTTAATTCGTTCCGGAGGTCAGTTCTTAACCTGAAACTGTATTTAACCTGAAGACCACTTTAGCTAATGGGGCCTCCTGCTGCTGCCGCGCCGCCGGAGCACGATTTCTGTTCACATCCTGAAGCAAAGTTCTTAACCCCAGGTACTATTTCTGGGTTAGCGGAGTCTGTAACCTGAAGCGTATGTAACCCAAGGTACCACTGTATGACGATTCTGCGGGAGCACAGAAGAAGTGAAAATGTGGTACTGTGGCCCAAAAATCTTGGAGCAGTGTCTTTTGGACGGCTGCCCGTTCTGTGGAATAGCATTCCAGCTGATGACAGGCACTCCCAATCTGCACTTGCCGGAAGAAGTTAAATATTTTTGTTTGGACGGGCTTTGCCAGCTGTATAAATGGAACTTTACAACAAGTGTCTATTTGTTAAGAGTTTTAGTCTTGTCATAAATATATTTATCTTTTTGGTGTCTTTCGCTGTTTTCGATCCTCTTATGTATAAATCGCCTTGAGGCAGTGGCTTAGAAGGCAACATGAAAACGAACAATAGAATCTGCTCTAACATTTTAGGGAAAGAAGAGCTTCTAGTCCATATGACTGTGAATATGTCCCGGAAAACCCATAGGCAATGCCTGCTGAAACCATAGAATGGGCAACTGGGTGAACTTTCCAGGAGTAGGACACAGGCCTCCCTGCCTGCCCCCCCCTTCTACCCCATGCCTAGCAAATTCAAACTATGCAAAACTGGAAGCATGCCAAATTATCAACTCTTACAAATTTGCATTATTTATATGGGATTAAAAAATAATGATAAATAGAAGAGTTTATGTAGTCCTGGCAGTGACCTGCTTCGTGGGGTTATCGGGTGAACTAAAATCTCTCTTTGTAATTGAACTCCTCTTTTGATCCAGGACGAATCCCACAGCAGCTTATGTTAAATACTATAAAAATTGAGGCTCTTTGATCCCCTACAACTAGTAGCATTGGTCTTGGTGCAGCCTCTGCCGCTGCTGCTCCCAACCCGTCTCAGCCCCTGGCAACTACTGACAGTTGCCCGGTTGCCTGCTTTAGACACTGTCCCCAACCTGCTACTCATCGCTGGAAAGGAGGCAAGCATAGGGAGGACTGGCTACTGGCTCATTAGAATAAAGGACCGTCATTTACCATCAAGGAGCAATTCTCCTAAGACACACCCTAGTGTGTTCCTTCCAGTGCAAGGCAGATTAACAAGCATGAAAGACAGAGTTTTGCTACCTCTTAAGACTTGCCAAAAATCCTCTGTGAGAAGGGGAATGACTGGCAGGATTCGGGGACCTGGCGGTGCTTGCAGAACAAGGAAAAAAAGACCACTCGAGAGGGAGCCAACCCACATAGCTACGCAGAACATAGTTTTGAGGTTTTTCCTAGAATCAAGCTGCATATCAATTTTATGAAATAAAATAATTATGTAGTTAAACTATGGCGCTCACTCCCACGGGAGGCAATAATGGCTACCAACTTAGATGGCTTAACAAAATAATTAGACAAATTCATGAAGGATAAGGCTATCAGTGGGAACAGTTCTAGCCTAGACTTTTCCAACATGCTTGTTTCATTCGTGCAGGGAATTCATGCCTCGCCCCATGGGAAAACCATGCGCTTCCCTCCCTCCAATCTGAAAAAGTAGGCTCACGGAACAGTTTTTGAACCCCTTTGGCTGGTAGCGTGAACAAGGGCTACGTCGGAGCAGCAGAAGTGGAAGCAGCTTCCAGACACCAAATGCACTAGGACAGCTATGTCAGTCTCAGGTTATCATTATTTAACAGCCGAGTCAAGTAGCACCTTCGAGACTCGTTTTAGAAGAACATAAAACTTTGCAGAGGCTGTAACTTCCTTCTTCAGATGCCAGAATTGCTGGAGGCAAACAACGGAGGCAGTTAACAGAGCGTCCTCTGATTCCAGAGGTATCCTTGTGGATAGACTAGGACAGCTCGGTTGGCAGAGCAGGAGACTCTTAATCCCAGAGCCGTGGGTTTGATCTCCACGTTGGGCGAAAGATTCCTGCATTGCAAGGGGTTGGACTAGATGGCCTGCGTGGTCCCTTCTAACTTGACGATTCTATGAATGCAAGTGGAGAGGGATTCTCTGTGAGCTCCCCCAGCTAAGGGCCAAAAGTAACCAGATGCTGGGGCCCAGCCATATAAATGCCCGTGAATCCTATGGCAATTTAACAGGGCAAAGTTAGCCTCCAGCTTTGATGCTCAGGAGAACTATTCAGACACCACTTTGGCCAAGCGCATACCACTGGAAGCACAACTATACCACTTCGTGCCCAGGGCAGACCACTTACAGCAAAGTAAGCAATTGGGAACGCAATCCCGCCACCCCACTCCAAAAAAATAACCACGGCAGTGACGTGACGCTTGCTCAGAGCACCTCCGAAAATCACAGGACATTTATTGCAATCTGACCAATCATTAATACAGAAAATAGAATCAAAGTCTCATTCAGCTTTCATCAGTGGCCAGCTGAGCTGGAAGGCAGCATGGTTAGGAAGTCGGAGGGACCCAGTGAGGTGGGAAGATGCGCCCTCTTCCCCGAGGGCCACGCCCACCTCGACAGCAGCAGCAGCAGCAGCTCCAGGCAAAGCTGAAAGGGAGAAAGGACGGGTCGATTATGCCTTCTTATCCTAAAAGCAGAAGCCAGAGTTGCATTTCAAATGATTCCCGAGCACTTGCGGCTTTATTTTTAATCTCTGTCAAAGCATCGAGTGATTACAGGCGCTCTGTTAAAAAGTACGCAGGGCTGCATTTCAGGGAGTCAGACCATTAAAAAATATGAACTCTGCTCCAATTGGGGTTCAACAAAAGCTATGCGGCTCTCTTGGTTCAGCTGCACTGTGCTAATTGTAACCACCTCACGTCATGACCTTCTAATTTTTTTTCTTTTCAAGCATACTATTTGCATGCACTAATACTGCACCCTCCAGAACACTCGTTAAGGTATATTTGACCACAGATCAAATCAAATGAATTTCTGCTTTCATGTGTTCTTGCAGAATTGATTTGTGCAGCTGGGAAGAACCCATAGATTTAGCTTCGTGTGAGTGTGTGTGTGTACACACATACACACACATACAAATATAAACACCCATTTTATATACACACATACCTACCTCTCTGGCGAAGAACGGCAACTATAAAGGCACATATCAATCTATGGTGCAATCACACTTGGAATAGTCTGCACAGTTCTTGTTACCCAGCAGGAAGACCCTATGGAGTGTGGGAGTTAAGTTCCACTAAATACAGTGAGGGACTTCCAAGGGCACATGAATAGTGCTGGGCTACACAATGGCTTGGAGCATTTTCCTGTGAGGAACACGCACACACCTAAAGGGGGTAAATGACACATGCACCTATGCAATTATGAATGGCTAGAGAGAGACAGAGAGAGTGGGCATTTTGTTCCCTCTCATACAAACACCAGCAGTTGGGTACTGCCAGTTGTGGGAGGTAAGTTCAAGAGAGACTATAAATGTTTTCCCGCCAGGAGATCACTTAAAACCACAGGTTGCAATCAATGTTAGTTGTACTCAAAGCAGACCCACTGAAATTAATGGGCATACCTAACCTAAGTCCATCGATTTCAATGGGCTGTGCACAACATTCTCTGTCTGCTAGTGCAATGGCTCTTGGGCCAGAGGATGGGGGGATTTCAGCACTGTGCAACAGCGGGATACAATGTGCTAGCAGAAATTCAGTGTGTAACAGACTGAGCAATCTATTGCACAACCGAGTTACCAGAAACCTGCTCACGCTACCACTTGCACAAAAGTGTTCCGCTGCCGTGAACTCCTTCGCCAGTGCAACAAGTATGACTTACTCAGTGACTTAACCTATGGAACCACAAGACATGAAGGGCGCTTGCACCGATGGCTTTTAAGAAGAAATGGGGGGAATCAACAGGTATGAATAACAAGGGGTGAGGTGGAACCTTCATGTTCAGAGGCAATTTAACTCTGAACACTAGATGCAGGGAATGGAAAACAGGTGGCAGCTATTGCCTTCACTCTCTGCTCAAGCACTTCCAAGGGGCAAACTGCCTCAATGCTGCAGGAAACAATGCTAGACTTGACGGATGTCAGTCTCCAGCAAGGCAGTTCTCACATTCTCTATTTTCACTTTTAAGTGAGATGAGGCTCAGTGATAAAAAGAATCCAAGGAGGGACCAACAAGTGTGTGGGTCTCGCTGCTGAACAAATGGCCTCTTCTTGCTTGGAATTCTCAAAGTCAAAAAGATTATCTTCTGCACTAACTGAACACTTCTTACTGAAAGAAGCAAGCCTCACTCGGTTTAGATAGAAGGCCTTAGACACTCCAAAATGAGTCCACGCTTCCATATAATTAGCTTTACAGGTCCCCCTCCAGGAGAAAATGCACCTGGGATGAAGGGAAAATAGCTTTCTTGCTCCTCTTTGGGGATGAAGACAGGAGACAATCTTTTTCAGCATCACCAGATGGATTCTTCCTGATCTTCTGAAAACTGAGCCACTCCTTTTGAAAAGGCTACTCTTTTCTGCAACAGATTTCAGGTTTGGTTTCAGTTCCATCCTTTACTATTGGATATGCTGGGCAGGAGCTGCTGGGAGCTGGACCCCATTAACAACAACTGTAGTTAACATGCATATTCTCCTTACCAGAACCACTTGAAGATTCAGATCCGCCCACTCTCTTTGAGCTTAGCAACCAGATCTTCTACCGTCTCCACCTTGACTCCTGCCTGACGCTGGGGAGGATCCTCCACACTGACAATCGTCACCCGTGGGGTAAGTTCTACACCAAGGTCGGACGGCTTCACTACCTCAATCTTCTTCTTTTTGGCTTTCTGGGTTGGGGTGGGAATAAAAACAAGGCGCACTTAAACAACCCACCCTTGTTTGCTCCCCTGCCCGTTTTATCATCAGCTGCTGCTGAAATGCTGAATGTGAAAATCAATGGGGGAAAGTCAAGGGCTCTGCACAAATCGTCAATTACTATTTTGTCACTGGGGCCCTTTGCTTCTCGTCCTCATGTCCTCCGGACCCAAATGGATACAAAATGGGGAGAGTGTGTGTGTCATTTATCTCCAGAACAAGGCTCTGCTTAAGGCTTTGCTGTGCCAAGTACGGAATACCCATGAAAAGTTGTCAGGCCCATACCATGATGTTAGGCAGGGTGGCATAGCGCGGCTCGTTCAGCCGCAGGTCAGCGGTCACCACGGCTGGCAACTTCAGACGCACTGTCTCCAGACCCCCGTCAACTTCCCGCTCAACCTTCAGCCAGTCCCCATCCAGAGTCACTTGTGAAGCAAATGTTCCCTGCAACGGGGAGAGAAGGGCTGCTGGATTAAAGGCAGAGCAAGTAACACATTACATGAATTTCTACAAGTACACATCCTCAGAAGAGTTTTGCCAGTTGCTATACCAACTGCACATGCTCGAAGCACTCACCAGCTTTTTTAAAAATGACAAAAACTAAGCGAATATTGAAATCATTTAGGGGTTTTTCAGACTTCTTACCCTGCCAATCACCCACATGCCCAGGGTGGCACATTAAACCACAATGGAGAATCGCAACAACCTGCCTCCTTAGGCGACTGAGCCCAGACAAACCCTCAGGCATACCTCAGAATGAGCCGAGGCTGCCATGACTGGTTGATGCCGTCACAAGCTCAAGCCCAGGGCACGGCGTTCATCTCTATTATGAGCCACTGGCATCCACGGCAGAAGAGGCAGGGATGCACAACCCGAGGGCCTAGGCAGAGAGCCATTAAGTCGTTTGAAGACTGCATGCTTAATATATTCTTGGAACCGCATCATGAAGGAGCCTGGGATGTGCGTGGCTCTCTGGGGGCAACTGGGCAACTTTGTGTTCAGAAGAGTTCAGTCAGTCATTCGCCTCCCAGCTAGTCCTGCGTTTCACTGGCACGTTAATTAGGTCACTAGATTAGGGTGGGGTGTTGAATCAAATCAAACAAAAATAGGTGACTGGTGACTGGCCTGGTTGTTATAAACCTATATATCGGCAGCCCGTTTACACGCGGTCAATACGTGCGCGACTGTGTATATGCACATTGCGCCGAACCTGGAAGTGACCCAGAAACGACATAAATATGTCACTGAAAAAAAGAGTAGAATGGGGGCTCATGGGGAGCAGAACAGGGTGTTTGCAGGCTTTTTCAATTATACGTGATTTCACCAAAGAGTGCGGAACCTCGGAACGTAATCCCTGTGTAAACGGGGGAGGGGGCTGCCTGTATGCCGAACGACTCCCTCCTTTTATTTATTTGTATTTATTATTGCACTTGTATCACACCTTTTCCTCCAAGGAGTTCAAGGTGGCATACATGGTTCTCTTCCTCCTCAACACAACAACCCTGTGAGGTAGGTTAGGCTGAGAGGCCAGGGCTGGCCCAAGGTCACCCTGTGGGATTCCTGGTTCAGTGAGGATTTGAACCCTGGTCTCCCACATCCTAGTCAAGACACTCTCACTGCTACGTCACGCTGGTTCTCAAAGCAGGGTGGTCACACAGCTGCCCCTCAGGCCAGAAAGGAAAATGGCAAAAAGGGGAAAGGAAAATGGCAAACAGGAAGGAAAGAAGGGGCGCCCACCCACTCTTGGCTCTGCCCCAACCACTGCCGGCAAACCCCAGTCCTTCATACCATCACTGTAGCCTATTGGATGGGCTCCCTTCTTCAAGCTGTGCCTCCTCGAGTATGGAAAACAAATGCGTCTTCCTTAATAGGCCACCTGCTCTCTGCCTGCCAGCCCTGCTGCTCACTTCCATCTATTCCACATAACACGCCCCCTCCCCACCGAATAGTACCTGAGGCCAGTCAAGAAACGCTGCGGTCATCTGCCCTGTCTGGTTGCAGTCATCGTCAATGGCCTGGAAAAACAAGCAAGGGGTGGAAAAAGGATTGGAGAGAGGAGGTGTCACACAAAGGACAAGGAAGCACAGCTGTTTTTCAGGGCAAAGAGCCTTTCCCCTTCAGGGGACAGAGCAGCCCAAACGCATCCCTGTGGGCACCTCTCCCAGGACTCTGCAGCGATTGCATCCGGCCCCAAAATGCCAGGGTCTCCAGCCATCGTAAGTGGTGAAAAGTTGTAACATGGGATGCACTGGTTGCACTCTCTTTGGGAGGTTCAAGTCAGGGCAGGTCTCCCAACAGGAATGAGGGTACCTGTGGTCACCTGAGCATTTCAGCAGTGACAAAATGTTCCCCTCGAGCCAGATAAATTACCAGCCACGTGAAATGAGAAGGACCATCCTTCTGACAAGTAACAGCCCCTGCAAAATGAGACCTTGCATCCTTCGGGTGCAGAAGCAGAGTTCTCGGCACGGGGGGTGGGAACTTCAGGCCAAGTGTGGTTACCAAGGCCTCGGGACCTGGCCCTCGGGACTCTCCAGGAAGACTCCCTCTTCCCAGGCCACATCCCCCACTTCTGATGCCCAGCAGCCTCAAGTCATGTGCTTTTGCCTGGCTGAAAGGTCTTCTTGAAGCATTGTCTCTGGCTTGTCTAGATGGAAGCGTGTTTTGTGTGTGTGTGTGTGTGTATATATATGTAGGAAGTTCAGGCTCTTGCGTGTCTGGAATGCAGCCAGCTGTACAAAGGTAAGATCCACAACTACTGCTCTGCCTTCTTTTGACTCTGGCCTAGGGAGGCAAAGGTTCCCCATCTGTGCCTTAACAGGTGATGCTGCAGAAGCAGCACCTCCCCTGCTGTTTTCCGCTTCCTTTTCCCAAGTCCCAAGTCTCGGATCTGCTTTCCAATCATCTTGGAGATCACTTCATAAATCTCCATGGATCAGCTTCAGTCCAGATATACTGTTGGAAACCTGCAACTGGCAACCCAGATGTTTGCTCCTTTCAGCCCTCGGGCCTGTTAGGTTCAGCCTCTTTTAACTCTGCCCCTATTCCTGCCAGTTCATTTTCCTCTTATGTCCACTAGGTAATAAGAGGCCGTATTAACGTCCCTGTTCTGAAGAAGGGCCATAGCTCAGCAGCAGACCATCTGCTTGCACGCTGGAGGTCCCGGGTTCAAACCCTCGGCATCTCCAGGTAGGGCTGAGAGAGAAAGCCACTGGAAAGCAAGGCAGGTAAGATTCCTCTAGGTGAACCAGTAACCTGACTCAGTTTAAGGCAGGTTCCCATGTTCCTATGGAAATGTTGCCTCGGCCATGGTGGCACGCCCATGCAGAAAGCTGTCTTTTGGACTGACTGCTGGCATGAGAAGGCAAGGGATGAGATCAGGATTTAACAGGTGTCAGCTTGCTAGGTGCACTGGCCCTTCTCCAGAAGCTTGATGACTAGAAACTTGATCCCTGGAGGTTCGTAAGGAGAGCAACATGGCGGGTGCACATTCACTTCCATGCTGCACCATTTACCTGTGCAAGAGCTCATCCCTTCTTTCAAACGCACTTGCATCTCTATTACCTGCTTCCCCAGCAGCAGAAGGTTGACGCCTTCTTTTTTGGCAAGTGCAGCCAGGATCTTCGAAACCTGGAAGGGGCTGAGGCTCTCATACTCCTTGGCAGGGACCTCCACATGCAGCCCTCGATCGGCCCCCATTGCGAGGGCCGTGCGGATCGTCTCCTGGAGGGAGGAGGCAAAAGGAACAATAAAGAAGGAAGCCCTGAACTTGACACACACATCTGCTTTCCTCAGAATTTTAAGGTATTAATTCTTGCCCTAGAAAAGTCCCTCGGGAAGGCCTGGAAGAAGAGCGCTCTGGGGGAAAACAATACATCTGTGATGTTAGCTCTCCTCTCAGGCCTATTTGCTTGTTTAGCAATCAAACATACCTTACCCAAGGGGCCTGCCAGGCACCGTGGGACTACAACTCCCATCACCCCCAATAATTGGTCATGCTGTCTAGAGCTGATAGGACTTTGGGAGCCCAACAACACTGGGAAGCCCCATAGGTCGCCCAACACAGCCTCTCACTAAGGAAAGACTGCGGTGATTAAGAAGAATACAGGTCGAGAATCAACGCAGTCATCTTGAGAAAGAAACCAGTATTGGGTGGCAGTCTTGGAAGATTTATGCTGCCCTGAGCGGGACCGGTAATATAAAGAAAATTGAATGCTGTGCTTTCAAGATACACAGTCCTGGCATGAAAAAATCCGAGTTCTCTCTTCCAGCTTTGTTAATGACAATGATAATAGCCTCTATAGGGAAGGGGGATGCCTGCCCCACTGGGAACAGAGCCAAGGCACTACCCCCCCCAACAGATGCAGCTGCTGAGTTTGCAATAGTAAACCCATCACTGCGCCAGCCAGCCCTTTACACAACCGCAGGCAGAAATCAGAAGCAGGAGGGCAGAGAGAAGATGGCCTTGGGAGAGAAAGAAAAGCCCTGTATTTGTTCCCAATCTCAGAGACTGAGGAACGTCAGCTTGGCTGCTGCTGCTGCAGGGGGAAGGGAAGGGCTGCTTTTTTTAAAAAAAACGGGGGGGTTGTGAGAGCAGCGCAGCAAGTGAAGGTCACTGGGAAGCGGGGGCAGCAGTGCAGAAAATAGCTGGCGACGGTGGGGCTGTCAGGAAGCCGCAGCTGAGAGAAGAGAGCAGAGCCAGGTCTGGGGAGAGGCAGGGGGAGGCAAGAGAGGCATGTCCAAACCGGTTACTTTCACCGGCTGGAGCTGCGCACTGACACACGCCGTGTGGGATCTCAAGAGCAAAGTGGGGAGCGTCTGCCTTCTAGTGCCTCCCTCCCATGGCCCTTCTTGGGAGCTGTCCGAGGGCGGAACAGTAAGCTGGGTTTTGGCTGCGGGAGGGCCGTGCTCAAGGCTGTGCAGGTGGCGATCCTATGCGCTTACCTGGTAGCCAACCCCTCTTGAAGACAGTGGGATTTACGTGTGAGTAAATGTGCACAGGGCTGCAATGTCAGCACCTTTAAGGGGGCCCTGCTGCCTCAGCCTCCCCCCGTCTCTATCTAACAGAGGGAATTCCAGCAGGTGATGCAGATTCTCATCTCTTGTGTTATGACTACCTGTGTCCACTGAAAATTCTGTTGGCGGTTCCCGTCCTGCATTTGGGCTCCCCTTAGATGGGGGCAAAGGGAAGGTACATTGGGATTGGTTTGTAGGTTGCTGGATGATTTTCAGTCAGCTGGAAAAGGTTCCCAATTATAGCAACAAAAAAGCTGCCCCCATCACAACCCCTACCCCAATATAGAATTGTCAGAATTCCTGCTTAGGTTACAAATTAACTCAGATGCAATTTTTTTACTTGCATATATGCAAGTTATCCTGGGTGCAGGAGTCAATTACTTCTGCTGCTTATGTCATCATTTGGATCTAGTCTTACTCGCAAGTCACTGTTTGGCCCCCAGCTCCAAATGATGGTTAAAAAAAGTAAAGGAAAAGGAAAGAAAGGTCAATTTGGAAAGCTTGAAGTCTGTCTGTGTCTGCCCTAGACTCACAGGCCTTGATAGCTCAGGCAGTAGAGCATGAGACTCTTAATCAGGGTTGTAGGTTCACGCCCCAGGTTGGGCAAAAAAATTCCTGGATTGCAGGGGGTTGGACTAGATGAACCATGTGGTCCCTTCTAACTCTTATGATGCTCTCTAAATAGAGCCCCTTTTCTTAACAACCCAGTGAGGTGCTTAGATGATGGTGGTCCTGCACCTTTAACAGTGTGCCCTGCTGAAACCCCCTCATCTACACAACTAGTAAAGCTGCGGGAACCTCATTTTCATTTGTCAAACTCCTAATTCTCTCTCTGCTGCTCATCGGACAAGAAAACCACCCTTAATGTTCACACAGGCGATGCTCTAGCCCAGACAACTACACTCCGCACACCTCAATAGACTGAGAAAGGCAGGCTTCTGCATTGCTTCAGGTGTGTTAAGTTTGTCAAAGGTTGGTACCCAGTACTTGGAGAAGAAAGGGTTTTGGCTCCAGCATCTTCAACATGCTGCTCTCAGCATATCTACAGAGCTCTCTCTTGTGTGCCGCTGGTACCACCTAGTGGCCACCAGCCTAACTAACACCAGTTGGTCCAGCCCCCATCCCTCATCTCTTTGCACTCAGCCCCCTGAGCTGTAAAAAGCTCTCGATTTAGAATTAATTATTTTGATCACAAGCCACTCAGCAAGTTGGCAGATAGACAGAAAGGAGCCTGAGCACCAATTTCCCAACAGAAAATTGGAGAAAGGAATTTGGGACAAGCAATTAGGTGCGCCTGAGCACCAATTTCAAATGGAGGATGGAGAAAATAATTTGGGACAAACAGTTCTAGTCACCAGACAAGGAGCAAAAAAGCTGTCCCCCAGCGTCACACTGGACCTTCCCTGAGGAGTCCACTCTGTTCCACCTGTCCATGCAACACAGACCAAAGCTGTACAAACAGAGGGTATTTATGAGAGAAAGCTGCTCCCACAACAATCAGATTCCTCAAAAGCAGACCACTAGCATAAGAACATACTAAACAACCCCATGTTGAGTCACACTGGGGCCATCTTTGCACTCACCATGGGCCCTTGCACCCCTCAATTTTTATTTTTATTATTTAAATTGAGAGGAGAAAGTTGGCTCTCTCTCTCTCTCTCTCTTTTTGGTTGGGCAGAGAGAGTTGCCTGTCGTTTATCTGTCTGTGATTTAGGGTGCGTGCAGGTGTTTTACCTCCTTTTTTAAGGGGTGTGTGTCTGAGCACTGTCCACTTTTCTTCTGTGAAATAGGTGCATTGCGCTGCCTGCAGCAATTTCGTAGATAATGTGCCTCCCGGGGACCCAAAAAGATTGGGAACCCCTGATCTACACTGATTGGCAAGGAGTCAGTGCTGCATTCAACGTTCGCCACACTCGCAGTACACTCAGTGAAGTTAATGAACACGACTAACAGGTCTATCAACTTCATAGGTCTGCTCTGAGCACAACTTAGTTGGGATACAACCCTCAAACAATAGTCTTTTCCAGTCCTACTCAGAGATGCCAGAGATTGCATCCAATACCTTCTGCCTGCAAATCATGGGCTCTGTGACTCAGCTAATGACCCTTAATTTGCTCGTAGTCTGTCAGCAGGGATTTCGGGGGTTCTTGGAAGAACAGGGTTGTATTCAACTAACTTTTACTAAAGCAGACCCACTGAAATTAACAGCAGTGATGAACTTAGGTTCATCAATTCCAGCGCGCCTACTCTGAGTCATTTAAATATTGCCTTTCTTCCAAGGAATGAGATACTAAATATACGTTGCAAAAATATAGTTTACTCAGGCTGGTTAATGGTCCTTTCAAGAGCTAATGGCACAAACTCCCTGGCCTGCTATTAGGAACATATGAATCTGCCCAATACTGAATCAGATCACTGGTCTGTGTAGTATTTTCTCCTTCAGGGATTCAGACATGAGATGCTGGGGATTGAATCTGAGACCTTCTACATGCAATGCAGATGCTCTACCGTTGAGCTACGGGCCTTCTTCACTTCTGTCCTCCCTCAGGCCGCACAAGTCAAGCAGACCTAGGGAAGGTAGGAGAGGAGCTGTGCCCCAACAGGTACGCTGATGCCACCAGTTCCCTGGTCTGCTGGTGACCTTTGTTGCTTTAGAACATACAGGATGCCTACTGCATCTTAAGCCACTCCACAAATAAGAGGAAGGCAGGTTTTTTAAAATCACTTGCCAATATTGGTGGCAGGAAAGATTCCTTCCCGATCCCAAATTATAGCAGAAAAGTACCATGGGTAGTGGTATTTGTAGTGTTAGTTCTTTTACTTTTTTTCTCTCCCCCCCGTCTTTCTGTATTTGTATATGTATGTTGAATCTTTATACTTTTAAAATAAAAAATTAAAAAGATAAGGTAAAGAAAAGTACCATGGGCAAAACTCACCGAGCAAGCTTCCTACCCAAGGAGAACTGCAGAGGATGAAAACTAAACCACAGCTGAGCTAGCCCTTCTCTTGCTACATTGCCCTCCTGCAATGACGACAACTTGCCCGCTTTTATTCAGAACCAGGCTCACGAGAAACAGCAACCTCATTTTAGCCAGGGGTCCAAACTTGGAGGACTTCAACAGGGCTCCCTGCAAAGCATTGTCTATGCCAGGCTTTTCTTATTTTACATCTCCAGTTTTACTCAACCCAGTAGGAGCAGTCACGGTTATCTGTTGCCTACTGTACAAAGGCACGAGTCACCTCCTCTGCCTATCCACCACAGGCATGAGGCCCCTGAAGGGTGGCCCCTGGTCTGTAAAAGCTCTTCCACTCTTGCATTAGTCTTAAAGAGCCCCATGCGATACAAAGGGCAAACAAATTCATTACAGCATAGGCCTTCATGCACTACAGTCTATTTTAATCAGATGCATCATGTGGTCAGACAAGTACAGTGGAGGAGAGAGAGTATATCATCATAAATCTGCAAGGCTTTAAAGTTCTCACTGTTCCTACTCAACCTCAGTACTTAGGATGCCTTCTGGTTACCGCCATCCCCCACCCCAAAAGGACACATCTGGAAAAGATATACAGTCATACCTTGTGTTGTGTTTGCTTCAGTTTGCCCGTTTTCAAGTTGCGTCCCGCGGCGATCCGGAAGTACCGGAAAGGGTTACTTCCGGGTTTTGCTACTCGCGCATGCACAGACACGCAAAATGACGTCACATGCATGCGCAGACGCGGCAAATCGCGATCCATGCAGATTGCGTTCTGGTCATGTTGCGAATGGGACTCCGGAACAGATCCCATTCGCAACCAGAGGTACCACTGTATTTTAAAGGTGAAGTAGAGGCGCTTCAAGAGATGACTGGACTTAAGAACCATCTCTCTCTCTCCAGGACTGCATTTGCATAATCAAACCACGGCTTATTAAGCTGAGAAGCACACAAGCTTCATGTACCCGCATGCAACCCCTTTGCTTCTGCTTTGCTCTTCCTCTTCTGCAAATGAGCCAAAAACAAGCCAAGAAGCCACGGTTAATCATAGCTTGCTGTTATGTCCAGACAAGGAACTCGCATGAAGGGGAGAACAAAGTGGCTGCAGGCAGGTCCCTGAAGCTCACATGTATCTCAGGTTCTTAAGACAAGATATGATTGTGCAACTGCCACCTGTTTGTCAGAGACCACTCTTAAGAATAAAAGTACTGCCCTGTTGGCTCAGACCAAAAGCCCATCGAGTCCAGCATTCTGTTTGGCGCTACAGCCAGGCAGGTGTTCACATGCAGGGTATGAAGGCACCGGCTGCCCCCTGCAACAGGCTGGCATTAGGTGCACCTCTAGGCAGGAACTAGATCATTCGTACACCTGCACAGCACTTAGCCAGAATTGGCAGCGGCAAGGGAAGAGACATGTGTAACCAGGAATTTAAGTCTCCTTGATATGCTCACATTTTCAGCCCATGTGTGCTTCTATATGTAGCTCAACTGAATTACAGGTCTACTTACTTATTAGACCTGAGGTCTTCTAATATGATCACCACCCCCTCAAGTGCAAACTGTAAGGTCTTCAGTTAAGGAAGTGCAGTTAATGCATCTTACAAAGCAAGACTTTGCCAAGGTGACTGAGAAACTACCCAGGAGCCTGTTTTACTTCCTCTACTTCCTCTAAAACGCTCCAAGGGACAAAATTACTGGGTCTTTTTTCTTTCCTTGAAAAAACAACAGGCTGGTCATTGCCGAACAAGTTAATGGATTTGTTAAATGACACAGTAAAGGAAAGCAATTTCAAGAGTTGCCCACTTTGTTGTTATAGCAGCTAAACTTAGATAAAGCATCATCTGCAGGAATTTAGCAGACTACAGAGGCAACAGTTTGAATCTCCTTCCACCACCACCCAAGTTCTTCTTTTCACTTTTGAGCCAACCTGCCATTTTTGAAAGTCATGTATATTCTATTATACTGCGAAGGTTTAATTGCTTACAGTGCGTAAGCAACCAATGCACAGCTTGACAAATATAACAGCTAGACATTAGACTTTCTTAAAGTATTTCCAGGAATTGAATTCTACACCAGATACCAAATGTCACATAAACAAAATTTTGACATGAATTAAAGGCTGAGGAGAGAAGGGGGTAAAAGCAAAAATGAGGAGAAAGTCTGGGGTGGGAGAGAACAGTAGCAGTTTGGGATAAAGCAGAAGTGACCGACTCAGCCATCTGGGAATGGAACTCGGGTTTGAGATACCATTGATGGGGTGGGGTCCTATATAGAGGCCAGTGGAGGATGGCAATTAGGGCAGATGGGACAGGGTCCCACCAACCTCTTATCTGTCCTCATTCAGCTCCCACCTGCCCCAACCAGTCAGGTGGCTCTGCTTGCCATTGGCCCTGGCTCCACCTATTGTTGGTTTCCCTGCCTTCTGCTCAACAGTTCTAATGGACACCATCCACTGCTGTCAAAGCCCACAGCCAGTACTGGATACTCAGCTGTGGGTTCTGGTTACACAATGATTTCCTTCCCTTGCCCTCTATTTGCCTTGCCTCCTGCTTTTGGGGAATGACTCCTCACCTGGCATTGCTGTGGACCACAGCTCACAGCTATCACCTCCGAGACGAGCTTCTTTTCCTTGAGGCGTACGGCTTCCTCCACGGCGATCTCACAGAAGGGGTTCATGGAGTGCTTGACTCCATCTGTCACTACGCCTGTTTTGTCTGGTTTCACCCGCACCTGCAAGAGGAGCAAAGTTGTCATGGAGGCAGCTAAGGAAGATCTGGAACTAGGCGAGGAAGCTCTTGGGGACCATTCCCACTCCTCTTTGGGGAGTGAGGATCCAGAAGCTGAATGCAGGACACAGGGCATCATCAGCCACAGATAGGGTAGCAAATATTAGCAAAGTTTTCAAATAGTTTAGAGTTGCATTAAAGAATGCTTGCTGTAAGAGCTTGCTCTCTTTTAATTGAGATAAGGACCTAAGATGAGCCCATCTAGATTAGGCCAAACACAGAGGATTAGACAAATGCAAGAAGGCTAAGGCTAAGGTAAAAGACCGGTTAAGTCCAGTCAAAGGCGACTATGGGGCTGAAGCGCTCATCTCGCTTTCAGGCCGAGGGAGCCGGCGTTTGTCCACAGACAGCTTTCCAGGTCATGTGGGTCATGACTAAACCGCTTCTGGTGCAAGAGAACACTGTGATGAGTGCCAAAGCACACCGAAACGCTGTTTACCTTCCTGCCGTAGCGTACTTGTTTATCTGCTTGCACTGGTATACTTTCGAACTGCTAGGTTGGCAGGAGCTAGGATAGAGCAACAGGAGCTCACCCCGTCGCACGGATTCGAACCGCCAACCTTCCGACTGGCAACCCCAAGAGGCTCAGCGGTTTAGACCACAGCACCACCCGCTCCCTTTGTAAGGCTCTGCTCTACCTGGACTAGATGGGCCATTGGTATGACTTGGCTGAGCCCTTCTCCTGCTAGTGGGAAACCAACAAGCAACACCTGAAACCAAACCTCTCAGCCAAGACTATATCTATATCTTTGCCATCCACTAATTTTGCCACAAACATAAGGCTGCAATTTATTCCTTATGCACAGCCTTCTGTGGGGGCTGTTTGCTTGTTTATTTTTAGCCTGCCTTTCAATCATCTTGGATTCCCGAAGCGAGGAACAATTAAAAGATTTTGACAAAACAAATGAAAACAAAGATGACACAAATGGCTGGGGGGTGGCGGTGGCTGCAATCAACCTCATCCCATTCCCTCCAGCCATTCTCTGCTCTCCGATTCATGTGGTCATTTTCAATTATGATTTTTCTCCACTTGATTATCTCTGGTCATGCATGGGAATGAAATTACACAGAGAAAGCTCTGACATGACCCATCGGTACATGGATACGCTCAGCTGCGATTTCAGCAATTCGGGTTTGCTCCAAAAAGGGCTGCCAAGATTGCAGAAGTTGAAGCACATCCACAGACTGTCAGTTTCACAAAATGCTAATCTCTACACTGCAACTTTTCTAGGAACAGTCCAGGTGAAGGAAGATGGGGACAGGAGGTAGAAGACCAAAACTATTCACTTAGGAGCCACTCACCCCTCCTCTATGCCTTGGGCTGGTTAATCTTGGGGTGCTCAAGTTGATTGGTTTGGTTCTACTCTTTCCTCATCCTCTCATCCCTACAGTTTATGAAGGCAATGAGATGGTCTGCATATATTGCTTAAGATAAACTATGGCTTAGTGCAAATGCATGAATGTGCAGCCTGCTGGGGAGCAGATTGCAGCCACTTTGCTCTTCCTCTCTGATCCTGTTGCAAGCTACGTTATTCAAACCAGAGCTCATTATTTTCTCCTCCAGATAAGCCACAAGCTGCATTCAGATGGCATGTTTAGCCAAACCAGGGCTTGCTCAAAGCAGCCACAATCTCCTCTCTGGGAACTCTCACGCTTGTGCATTTGCGTTAAACCATGGTTTGGCTTAGCATAACATGTGAACCAGTTGAATGCAGAAATATCTTTGGTTGAGAGAAGAAATTCTAGTAACACATTCATACACAAATACCGCAGCCTTAACCATGTTTACCCAGAAATAGGTTCTACTGAATTCAAAGGGACTTACTCCCAAGGAGAATTGTATCCACAGTACAATACAAAAGCACACAAGGAATTACAGAAAACACACAGCTGAAGTCCAAGGCACTCTCAAATAAGTTCCCTCAACTCTTTGAGAGAAAGAAATGGAGCATTAAAACCTAGGAACAACAGGAATACTCATTGTATGTCTCCTCAATGTTTATGGGTTTAAGTGTTTTGGAAGAAGCTTCTGTTTGCATAAGGAAGGCCCAAGATCAAACAGCCTGCTCCTGCACAGAGATCCAGTAAACACAGACTTAAATCAGAAAAAGAAGGCGGCTGTTTGCACACATGTCTTTGCGCAATCAGCAATTGAGGATTGTGCTCACACGCAGCTGCAAGGCACCCATTCAAACCTTCCAGCAGTCAGAACCTTCTGGCATTATTCTGCAGACTTTCTCCACACATTAGCCAGGCTTCCTCAACTTCGGCCTTCCAGATGTTTTTGGCCTACAACTCCCATGATCCCTAGCTAGCAGGACCAGTGGTCAGGGATGATGGGAATTGTAGTCTTAGAACATCTGGAGGGCCAACCTGAATTACGCTGACCAGCACCATGGATTTTTCAGATGTTAAGACCTTCTGATACCAAAACTATCACTGAACAGAAAACACGAGACTGGTGCATGTAGATTCTCAGATGCAATTATCACCTGGGGAAACCCAGGTGGGGTATAAATAATAAAATATTATTATTATTATTATTAATGCATTCACAACTTATCCATGCTACAGGGCAATTTCCCAGTATGCATGCATTCAGTAGGAGACACACATACGAGTGCCTCACACAAACGTTAACCTGCACACAGCTTCCCTACATGGAAGTGCCTTTCATATAAGAAAATCAGAAGGTCTTTAAGAAGCCCTCAAAGTCTTTGATTCCATGGAGGAGTAGCTGGGTAACTCAGAGTCAAATCCTAAAACATGATGCTTACTGGCTAGCCTCAAGCCAGTAATCCCATGAGAATACAAGCTAGCAAACTCCGTGGAAGAAACATAGGATATAAGCATGAAACCTGACAACAAACAGGTCACTGTTATTCCCATTTACCTAGAATGAGACACCGAAGTTGCCCAAAGACACACCCGCTGAGTATGGAAATTTAGCCCTGATCTCTCAGGCAGTGTTAGAAACTGAAATAGGAAAGCTAGGAGCTAAATGGCACCTTAAACCCAGGTTATGGGCACAACAACGGAATGTCTAAGCACACTTTTTAAATAACAAGAATACAAAGCTGAAAATGAATGAACTGCAGTGAAAATATTATGTTCATTTTTCACACCGTCTAGTCCTTCCCCTGCCCACCTCTCCTAATATTCTTAAGAGGGTCTCTTTTCCAGTCTTCAGAGAGTAGCTGGAAGTAGGGAGGCAGAAAAAGGTTCTCCTTTCCTTCCACTCTGCAGTTTTAATCTCAAATCTTAGGCTCAGTACTGCACCCAAGGCACCCAAGTACTTAGGCTCAGTACTGCACCCAAGGCTCAAAAACTGCTCACGCTTAATAAAATTCCCTTTTGCAAAATGTGTTTAGAACATTGGGAGTTTCAAACACTGCTCTCAGGTCCAAGGTCCAGCTAAGATTCTTGAATCAGGAACAAATATTAATGAAGGGATTGAGGGATACAAGTACAGAATAAAACCAGGCAGGGTTTAATGAAACATGATGGCAAGAAAGGCTTCCTTCAACAACTCTGCTCTCCCAGTACACCTCCATGATGTCACTGCTCCTCCCTCCCTCAAACCTCTTCCTTTTAATACAATACTCTATTGCAAAAAAATTTTTTTTCTTTTCTTTTACAGTACTCTATGGTGAAAAACTTAAGCATAACTATACCGTCTCTGAAAAAGGAGATTTCGTTTTGCTAACACGGCTGCTGGCAGCCTCTGGCAGCTTTCTCCTCCACCAAGGCATGTCAGCATGAGGTGACCTTGGGCCAGGCACTGTCTCTCAGCCTGACCTACCTCGCAGGGCCGTTGTGAAAATAAAATGTGGAGGTGGGGAAGGGGAGAACGATACGCGCCACCTTGAATTCTTTGGAGGAAAGGCAGAATACAAACGCAATAAAATAATAAATGAGTAAAACCCACTGCCTGTGTTTCCTTTCCTTTCTCCCTCTCAATCCCCTTTTTTTCCTCCTGTGCCATGTATTTCAGATGCTAAACATAAGGAGGAAGGCCTTCTAGTCATACGGATTGCTATAAGCTTTTCTCGACTGAAACTGCTTCAGAAGCACATAACTGAAAAAGATAATAACAATCAGCCAAGCACAGCGAGAAAAGAAGCCGGCAGCACCAAGCAAATGCCTCTGGGAAACCGTTTTGAGAAGAAAAAAAGGCCGCCCTCCAACATCTGATATTCTGAGGCAGACAGCGCGTAAACACGGAGGTTCAGACACACGTGACAATGTGAACGTGTGAGCGCCACAAGCTCAGCGTCGTGTTAACATGCAGGTTTGAGCTAGGGGGGACCTCCGGAGAAGCGCTCCCTCTCTTGGGACCCAGGCGTTCGAGGGGCTCCCTCCCCGCGCGCCGCCCTCCCCTGCCTCGCCGCGCGCACCTTCACAGCGTAATCAATGACCCTCTTCACTCCCACCATCGCCCTCAGCCCGGCCGCCGCCATCTTCCCCGCTCTCAGTTGTCCTATCAGCAGTCGCCTAGCTTCCTCCTCACCACGCCCACCGGGTTCTTCCAGCCAATCGGGAAGATGACCAGGCGGTCCATCCGTGCGCATGTGGGAAGAGGAGGAGGGAATCACGTGAGTGTGTCTTCAAAGCTCCACAAGAAGGTCAGGTGTGTAGTCCGTGGTGCCCAATCGGGAGTTTCTTTCGGGTTTCCGCAAGCCAATCGAGGAACTCGGTAGGAGGGCATAATAGGAGGGCGAGAGGGGAAGGAACGAAGGCAAAGCGACTGCTTTTTCAAATTGGATGACTGATGTGCCGTTTTCACCAATCACAGCATTGGAATGGGGGGTGGAGAGCGAGGGTTCCTGAGATGGCATAATCATCTGTCCAGGCCAATCAACCAGCGGCATTTACGTGACGCGCACCCCGCCACACTCCGCCTCCGAAACGAAAGGAGGCCAATCAGAGCGGCGTCTGAGTTACTGTTGAAGAGGGAGACACTTGCGGAGGGAGGGAGGCTGCGCGGGTGCGCTGGAGGAATCTGGGTGAAAGGTCGTGACGCGTGTCTTTTGTTGGTCACGCAGTTACGGATCCGGCTGTAACGTGCGAATTGTTGCGCGCAGGGCTGGCCTGCTCGCGGGAACAGCGCGCCGTCTGAGGTGTCGGTTCGGATTTAACTGCACCCGGCCGACCTCCGTATCTTCCTACCTTCGAGCCGGCAATGTAACGTCTGAAATGGGGAGCCAAAGAAGATCGCAACGACAACTTCCACGATTAAAAATAATTTCCTCTTCTCACGGAGGTTTCTTCTGCGATCTCCCGTGGCACGTGTCTCCTCTAAAGGGGAACGACAACAGAAAGAAAAAAAACTCAACACCTTTCAATTGCGAAACTGGCATTGTTGCTGCCAGCCAGGGCTTCCTGTCCGACCCCCTGCAAAACCTGGAAAACGGGGGAGGAACTGACCCCTGTTTTTCTAGGGGTCGCTCCCCCAAAATATTTTCCATGTTCCTTTTCCCCCAGGCCTCCACTGCTCAAGGCTAGATCCTGCATCCATGGCCTTGGTTTGCATTTCAACACTCTCCACAGGTTGCTATGATACTTGAATCTGCAAATTGCAGTTGGCCCTTGCTCTCCAAACTTAACACACTTCATTTAAAGTACTAAGGTAAGAAGAGAGCCAAGAGCTCTTCAGAAGATTTCTGCAAGACACCACAACAGGTATCTTGTAGGAACATAGGAATCTGCCTTGGACTGAGTCAAACCATTGACCCATCAGACAGAGTATTATCAACCAGGGTCTCCGGCAGAGGATATTTCCATACCCACCTGGAAAGGCCAGGGATCTGAACCTGGCGCCTCTGCATACAAAACATTTTCTATGCCTGTTTCCCATTACAAAAGAATAGTATTACAGTGATACCTCAAGTTAAGAAATTTAATTCGTTCAGGAGGTCCATTCTTAGACTGAAACTGTTCTTAACCTGAAGCACCACTTTAGCTAATGGGGCCTCCTGCTGCCACCGCACCACCAGAGCACGATTTCTGTTCTCATCCTGAAGCAAAGTTCTTAACCCGAGGTACTATTTCTGGGTTAGCAGCGTCTGTAACCTGAAGCATAAGTAACCCGAGGTACCACTGTATTTGTACCCTGCACGTCTGCCTGGGTTCTCTACTTAAGAGAACTGTATAGAGTTGGAAGGGGCACGAGTGTTGGCCACCCACCTGCAAGGGAGGAATCGCAGCTAAAGCATCCCTGACAGGTGGCTATCTGCTTAAAAACCTCCAATTTTGCTTGATTGGCCACTGTGTTAGACTCTAATGCAGGGATGGGGAACTTAGGGCCCTCCAGGTGTTGGATTCTTAACTTCCGTCCACACCAGCCAGTGTTGGCCCACACTCGGGGATGGTGGTTGTTTCAGTCCTGCAATATCTAGAAAGCCAGCGGTTCCCCACTCCTGGTATAGCACCTGTCAAGAGGTGATTCTAGAAAAACAGTCATAGGATGAAGCATATTAAAGGAGTTTATTCAGGAAGGATATAAAGCAAAAAAATAGCATTTTTAAAAAAAGTTCAGAAGCATGATGTGAAGTGTCACTGCAGTGCCCCTTGATGCCGACATCCATCATTTGTAGCTTAGAGGCAACTGAATGTGTCATGATGATGTTTGATGCTTGCTGGGAATCTGATGCAAAAAGTAACCCCTTGCCAAGGTATCTTCTCACCCTAATTCCCACAGCTCAGATGCCACCGGGTGCATGGTTGCCCTCACGCAACCAGGGCACCCTACCCGCCCAAACCTGATGCCACTTGTATATCTCGCAGTGTTGAGTTCACAGAATCGTCACAGATTTTGACGTGCCCCCCCTTGGCCTCCCTCGGAGGGCAGACTGAGAGGCAGGGTTTTCCAACAAGTCCTCTTTCAGCGTCTTTATAGTCATGCCTGTGAAAAGCTCTGTGGTATCTTCATCCTTCTCCCATTTCTTCGCCACCAAGTGACAAACACCTGTAAGCCAAAAGGAGCCCATTTCAGTTGCTGGGTGCGAGCTGCCCTCGTGCCTGCCTGTCCACCTAACTTCATGGCTTTTGGCCACTTGACTGTATACTTGTAATGTATAGTGTTGGTGGCTTTGCCTGCTCTGTTGCTTTGGCCCCACACAGGCGGCCCCTGGAAAGTTTGCCATGAGGCAATGTGGCCCTTGGGTGTAAGTAAGAAAACAGGTGGGTTGAGGCTGAGTAAAGGCAGGTTGAAGCTTGTGGGGCAGTGCTCCATTGGCCCCATCGGACCAGCCACCACTTATTTCTTGCTGCATCCCAGGATGCTAAATCCAGTGTTTCAGAGAGCCAGATTTTACAACTGGGGTTGCAATTACCGTATTTTTCGTTCTATAAGATGCACCAGACCACAAGACGCACCTAGTTTTGGGAGAAGGAAAACAAGAAAAAAAATATTCTGAATCTCAGAAGCCAGAACAGCAAGAAGGATGGTTGCGCAGTGAAAGCAGCAATCCCTCTTGCTGTTCTGGCTTCTGGGATAGCTGCGCAGCCTGCATTCGCTCCATAAGACGCACACACACTTCCCCTTACTTTTTAGGAAGGAAAAAATGAGTCTTAGAGAGCAAAAAATACGGTAATTGCCTAGTGTGCACTGAGCCCTTCTCTGCTTGCATTCAGGAAGTCTTCCCCACCTAAGTCCTGTCATCTTTCCATAACCCCCCAGGGCTTTGAATAGCTCGTACCTGCCATGGTTGCCAGAATGACAGAGAACCACCCTGGTGCCAGGGACCACGAAAGGAAAGTGTTGGTCATCTCAGTGGCTGCCCTCATGTAATTGAAGAGGCCCATCGCTCCATTGAAGCCTGGAAGGTGAGAGCCAACGAGATAGCAAAGAATGGGAAGGTCAAGCACTTGAGTTCTTCAGCACTCCAGTCTTTAAACAGCCATAGCTTCCCCTAAAGAATTCTGGGAACTAGTTAAGGATGCTGGGAGTTGTTAGGAGACCCCCTATTCTCCTTCCAGAGCTACAATTTGCAGAGTAGTTTAACAAATGCTTCTTCGTAGGGAACGCTGGGAATTGTAGCTCTAGGAGGGAATAGGGGTTACCGAACAATTCTCAGGACCCTTACAAACTATAGTGTCTATAACTAGTTTGTGAACTGCCTTGGCATTTCTTCTCAAAATAAAAGCTGATATTCTTATTTAGCAATCCAACACAAATCATTTGAAAGGACCACAGTGGAGTAATCATATTGTTTTAGGTCTGTTGTGGGGGGTCGTAAATGCCTGGGTACGTTAACTGGTCAACTGGTATGTTAAAACAGGATGTCAGACCGTATGGTTCTGTCTTAAGATAGATCCATGCATGTATTAGGTCATGTGTGAAAACAGCTTCAAACCCCCTGGAAGTGGCATGTGTGAAGTGTTAATTAATCTAGGCAAACTTGCTAATTTGTGTATAAGCCACCCCTTTAACGCTACCTAATCAACATGTGTAAAATCTCATTAGCACAACAAAGCATCAAAAAACTCTGTATGATAATTCAGATGAGTGGGGCTTCTCTCTCTGTCTGTTACAAAAGACCAGGGTTTAGGTTAGCAAGATTAGAACAGGTGAGATGTGACAATTCTTGGGAAAAGGCAAACTGTCAGGGCAAGGATGCTGCTGTGCCTATAAGAGGAGCAACCTCTTGTGGCAGGAATGCTGTGGTCTCCTCCATTGTCGGCTTCAGGTTATATACATGTGTAAATAAACCATATACCATAAAGACACCACAGTCTCTGCTGTGCCTTATTGTTCCACTAGAAACTCAGACCCTGGGGTTACAGAGCATCTGGCATCCCTGGAACCTCACACTGCTTAGAGATTGGGGGGGGTGTCATGTAACATTCCTGAATTTCCAGAAACCATCTCACCAGTCTGTTTATTTGGCCTCAGCAACCCATTCTTGTGACTGGTCATAAAAACATAAGAAGCGCCTGCTGATTGAGGCCAATGCCTCATATATCCCAGCATCTTGTTCTCAGAGTAGCCAACCAGATGCCAGTGGGGAACACTCTCTCCTGTGGTTTCCAGTAACTCCTATTCAGAAGCATTACTCCCTCCGATCAGGGAGGCAGAACATCATGGCTGAAAGCTATTGGTAACCTTTTCCTCCATGAAATTGCCCAGTCCTCTTTTAAAGCCATCAGATTTTATTATTTTTGCATTTTATTTATTTATCTATACTTTTCAAAGTTTATACGTTCCACTAGTTTTATACATTTCACTAATTTTACATTCATTTTGACATTTCAAAACTCGGCTCCCACCCCCCTCTTTATGTGGTTCCTTAAATTTGTTTTTAGTATCTTCTGCATATCCAAATTAACTTAATTTACTCATTTATTCATTCATCATCTTTAAGTATATACTCTTCTAAAACCGCAGGTTGTTACAATAATCCTGCCAGTGTTTTTATCTGTTTATAATCTATCTGTAAATATTCAGTAAACCATTTCCATTCTTTTATATACCGGTATATAAAAAAATGTTATCTTGATTTTTTATTCTTCCGGTAAGTTTCACCATTTCTGCTTATTCCATAAGTATCCATTCTTCCTTTACCTCAGTGGTGGCCAAACTTGGCCCTCCAGCTGTTTTTGGACTACAACTCCCATCATCCCTAGCTAACAGGACCAGTGGTCAGGGATGATGGGAATTGTAGTCCCAAAACAGCTGGAGGGCCAGGTTTGGCCACCACTGCTTTACTGGGACTTCTGCTTCTTTCCATTTTGGGGCAAGTAACATTCTTGCCACTAGTGGCATACATGAATAAGTTTCTATACATTTTAGGTATCTAAATTAGTGGCCATCACTGCCTCCTGTGGGAACGAGTACCATAGTTTAACTATGCACTGCATGGAGGTGTGCTTTCTTTTATCTATCCCAAATCTTTCAAATTTGTTGGTTGTTCCCTACTTCTAGTGTTATGAGAGAGGGAGGAGAACTTTCCTCTTTCTGCTTTCTCCATGCCACGCATAATTGTACACACTTTTATCAAGTCATCCTTCCTTTCCCTTTAAACTAGTGTTTCCCAAACTTGGGTCTCCAGCTGATTTTTTTTTTTGTACTACAGTTCCCATAATTCCTGCTAGCTAGGGATGATGGGGGTTGTAGTCCCAAAACAGTTGGAGACCCAACTTTGGGAAACACGGCTCTAAACTAAAAAGTCCTAAATGCTGCAACCTTTCCTCCATCCCTTTTGCTCATTTTGGTTGCTCTTCCCTGCACATTTCCTGGACAGTCGGAGTCCTTTTGGGGAACGAAAAGGGGAGGTGGCGGGGTAAATAAGAGTCAGAAGATGGCTCCTCTTACCCGAGACAAAACAGAGGCCGATGGTTAGCGTGGGCCACGTTGTCGTCCACCACTTTGGCGGTTGGATGGGTGTGAGGCAAAGTGTCCCAGTGACCACAGACCCATAGGAAGTCGCAGCAGAGAGCAGCATAAAAAATCTAGATATGTAAATATAGTCTAGGAGAGAAGAAAGAAAGAAACTTTATCCTAGTGGCCCTCTGTCCGTTGCCCCGTTCCCTAATCTCAGACCTCGGTTCCTCCACTACCACAGCAGTCCCATCTTTGAATTGCTCTGCAAGAAGAAGAGTTTGGATTTAATATCCCGCTTTATCACTACCCGAAGGAGTCTCAAAGCGGCTAGCATTCTCCTTTCCCTTCCTCCCCCACAACAAACATTCTGTGAGGTGAGTGGGGCTGAGAGACTTCAGAGAAGTGTGACTAGCCCAAGGTCACCCAGCAGCTGCATGTGGAGGAGCGGAGACACAAACCCGGTTCCCCAGATTACAAGTCTATCGTTCTTAACCACTACACCACACTGGCAAGAGGGAGGCTCACAGCCCAAGCGCCATCCTAGCAGGAGGAGCAATTCTCTTAAGGAGGTGTGGCCACCCAATGGGCTACCACAGTTCTGAAGCACCTCCTGATTGTTCCTGAGGCAGGACAGTCCCACCACAGTCCTTACTGGAACTTCTGGAATTGAAACTAAATCGGTTGGCCGTTTTTAACAGCCGATGCAGTCACTGAAAGAAAGGTGCCTGGGCAGAGTGACACCATTATAATTTATTCTAAAAGTATTTCTTAAACCGCCTAACGTTTCAAAAATTGTCTTAAGTGGTGCACAGTTGTACAAATCAACATTCAACTGCTGCATCAGTATGTTTAAATAACAGACAGTACAATGATATATTTATCTGTGGCCATGAAGAGGAATGGCCAAGACTGGCTTAGATACTGTGTGACTCCAGTCTTGTGTTTTCTTTACGGTTGGTCCAGGAGACCAGGTTTTGACCTGTGCCCTCCTGGAATCCGCACAGTTCCCCAGCCCTGCCTTGCCAGGAGTGAGGAGATGATCGCTTGAACCTCTGCTGCTGTGAATGCCAAGGATGAGGAACCTGTGACCCTCCAAACCAGCCTTGCTCAACCTTGGGTCCCTAGATGTTGTTGGACTCCAACTCCCATCCTTCCAAGCCAGCATGACCTGTGGTCAGGGATGATGGGAGCTGTAGTTATTTATTGAATTTATGTACTGCCCTATACCCAGAGGTCTCAGGGCATTTAACAGAATAAAATCAAAATATAAAACCACAAAATACATACCGTAGATTCCGGCGTATTAGGCGACTGGGCGTAGTAGTCGACCTCCCCAATTGGCAGCTGCAATTTGGGGGTTCGTCTTATAAGCCCAGTCGCCTAATACGCTGGGCAGCTCCATGCCGGGAGAAAGCCGTCCGGCATGGAACTGAGCCTGCTGCTCGCTGCTGCTGCTTCGGAGCCGCCACAGCAGCAGCGGGCGGCGGGCTCCGCACCGCCCATACCCATAATATAAGACGACCCCCCACTTTTTAACCTCTTTTCCAGGGTTAAAAAGTCATCTTATACGCCAGAATCTATGGTAATCAAAATAAAAGCAGCAATCCAATAACCCCCCTCCAGGGGTTGGGGGTTGGTTGAGAGCAAGCTGAGGTTGGTGGGTCAGTGCCCCATTCATCACAATGGACCAACCTTCACTGGTGCTGGATGGCAGAGATGGCGACTGACTTGCATTGTTTTTTAAAAATTCACGAAGGATAAGGCTATCATTGACTTCGAACTCTGATGGCTATGTCCTACCTCTCAGAGGCAGATGCTTCTGAATACCAGTTTCTGGAAACCACAGGAGAGGAGAGTGGAGGTGAGCTTAGGCTCTGCTTTTGGGCTTCCCATAAATAAGCATCTGGCTGGCTGCCGTAATGGACCAGATGGGCTGCTGGTTTGATCCAGCAGGCTCTTCTTATGTGCTTATGACTAGGATTCCACTCACCTTCCCAATATCCTGTTCCTTTCCTGCCTATTCTCAGCACCCGTGAGGTCATGGATGGTGTACCATTCACATACTTGGTGCGGGCTCCCCAGAATAATTTGTGGGCAATGGGATGCTGGACTAGATAGATGGACATTTGGTCTAATCCAGCTGGACTCCTCCTATATTCCTTTTGGCACAACACTAACCAAGTTGCCTCTGTACTTGATTCTGCCTGCTGTTTGTTTTGCATGGCAAAACCCACCGGGGAAGGTGGTACCCAGCTATGATCAAACCAGGGTTGTTTGTTTGTTTTTTAAATTGGGCTTCAAATACAAGGTGTTGCTGGGGACCATGATTTCCCTTTCCCAGAAAGGGGACTAAAGCTGGATTCACAGATGCCTGTGTAAGGACGTTGCAGGAACTGATTGGCTAGTGCCTGTATAGTTACTGGAACTGACACATGATCCTCAAATCTCAGAGCATCTTTGCAACTTTTTGAAACATATGTTTATTGTTTAACGATGCATGCATATGGACATAAATGCATCTCTTGCTCTTTGGGGTAGCGGAATCGTTCCCTTGCAGAAAAGCCATGCCATTTCAGGGTGACATTAACATATGCTGATGCTGGGGGGGGGATTAAGTACTGTATACCTGCCCTGGATTCTCTGATCAGTGCCAGACTTGTGGTTTAGGGGAACCCCTATTTTAAATCCCCAATGGAGTATCCTACCAGGGCACTGTGGCAAATTTACTGGAGGTTCGAAAGCATGGAGCATGGGTAGGCAAACTAAGGCCCGGGGGCCGGATCTGCCCCAATTTCCTTCTAAATGCAGCCTGCGAACGTCCAGGAATCAGCATGTTTTTTTCATGAGTAGAATGTGCCCTTTTCTTTAAATGCATCTCTGGGTTATTTGTGGGGCATAGGAATTCGTTCATCCCCCTCCCCCCCAAATATAGTCTGGCCCCACACAAGGTCTGAGGGGCAGTGGACCAGCCCTACTGAAAAAGTTTGCTGACCCCTGGCATGGAGCAACACTACACAGGGAGCATTGTGGGGAATCAAAATGGTGGCTCTCTGCAATGATTGCCCTTCTGCTTTCCTTCCTTGTTGCCAGGAAGTGCCCCCACAATTTTGGGAGAGAGTTTACAAAAAGGCGCTTTGATAAGTGTCCACTCAGAATTGGAGCTGGCCTGGCCAGCAATGCATGACAGCATGGTTGAGGGTGCACACTCTCAGTTCACAGTGTTGCTCTGTGTGCAGCCTCTGCATGCGTGGAAATCCCACAAGGCACACAGGTTCTGTGACTCATGCCCAGGGATTCCTCAGCAGAAAGGTCCATGTGGAAGGTATTCCGCATAGGTAGAAACTTTAAAAACCAATTAGATGGGGCCACTGGCAAAAGTATCTTTTCTGAAGTTTCTTTCCTGAAGTGTTATGAGCTAGCCAGCAGATGGAGCAAAAGGCTCATACAATATTGGGTAAGAACATGGAACTCTTGTGTACTAGAAATGTCCAAAGCCCGATGCTGCTTTTAGGATGAACGGAGACTCTTTAGAGCAATCTTGTGGGGTTTCCACTCCGTTGTGGGGTTTCCACTTGAATTGCAAATGTACATACCCACCAGCAAGATGAACAGCCTCTGCCACACTCTGTTTTTTCTACACAAAGGAGGGCTAAATTGCCTTGTCCTTCCTTTTAAAATAGTTGCAAAACTGTTCCAGGGATCTGCGGGGCAAGGTGTGTTGATAATAACTCAGGCACTAGCCAATAGGTGCTTCCACAGCTGGCTTCTATCCCCATTCAAGTACTTTGAAAACCTGCAGAAGCAAACCCCGCTCCCTCAAGGAGAGGCAATAAGAATTAAGTATTTCCTTTGTTTACAAAGAAGGAGAGGAACTATCAAGTTGCCTGTTCCACTGTTTAAATGCTTCTATCACTGGCAGGAAATATTGAGACCTTCTACAGTGATCTCTAGTTCAAAATTCTGAGCATTATGTGGCCCTTACTTGGTGTGTCGGCCAGATAGACACAGTTCCCCAAAGAGCATTCCTGCCACAATCCCTGGAACACGAAGATTCCCCGAACAAACCGCTTGACCCAGGATACTGTCGAGATCACTACCACAAGCAGAATGGTTTCCAGGCAAGAGATAGCGATGCCACCTATCCGCAGCTTCTCAATATTCGTTAGCTTCTTGAACCATGTAAGCAAGGGCCATTTGGAAGTGGTAGCAGCACCAGGATCCTCAGCTTGGGTTTGACGGAGGCAATTAAGGCAAGCACCCATCTTCTAGCCTCGGGGCTCATGTCCCTTGGAAAAGAACTGCATTCAGCACCCCCAATTCCCCAACCTTTCGGGTGTCTGAGCTCCAGCCAAAGGTTCTGCTGATGAAGCTTGGAAGACCATTGCTCCCATAGTAACTCCAGCATTCTGGAACCTCTCCAGATTCCTGGATGGTTCTTCCACATGAAGAGAAGGAGGTCATATCAGTATTTCCTTCTGCCAACTCAGGACGTGAGCAAGCCACCAACCACCCAGCCAGATTTCCCCTATAGTCAGTTTGGATACGGCCAAGATTTGAGTGATTTTGGACAAGGCTTTGCATGCAGTCCAAAGCATACCCCCAGTGCATTCATTGATCCAAGTTCGAGACCGCTGTATCGCGTACTTTTCACCCTGGTACTTTTCAGAATGGAATGTCTAACAATCAGAGGCAGCATAAGCATTTTTAAATTCCCATGAACCGAATCAGAGTTGTTTCTGGGTAAATGGGCCGGTCAGTAAATAGAACGGAAAACCTGATTGTGGAAAAATGAAATTTAAAAAAGCTTAAAATTCAGAAAGTCAGTTTTGAAACCTGAAAACAACCCCTCCCCCCACAGGATTTCTGAGTCTGCACAAAATTTCTTTCTGCTTGTGCCCTAGAAAGGAAGCTTTAGTTAAAGCTATGGTTTTCCCAGTAGAGATGTATGGAAGTGAGATTGCCGAAGAATTGATGCTTTTGAAGGAGGTACTGGAGGAGACTCTTGAGAGTCCTATGGTTTGCAAAGAGATCAAACCTATCCATTCTGAAGGAAATCAGCCCTGGAAGGACAGATCCAGAAGCTGAGGCTCCAATACTTTGGCCACCTCATAAGAAGAGAAGACTCCCTGGAAAAGACCCTGATGCTGGGAAAGATGGAGGGCACAAGGAGAAGGGGACGACAAAGGACGAGATGGCTGGACAGTGTTCTCGAAGCTACCAGCATGAGTTTGACCAAACAGCGGGAGGCAGTGGAAGACAGGAGTGCCTGGCGTGCTCTGGTCCATCGGGTCACAAAGAGTCGGACACATCTAAACAACTAAACAACAACAAAGTTAAGGCCTTGTTATGTACTGAGTTGAATAGGATCCAAAAGGCAGCAGTCTGACTGGTCCTAGAACAACAGGATTCAGAATGCAGCAGTCTGATTGGTCCTAGAACAATAGGGTCCAGAATGCAGCAGTCTGATTGGTCCTAGAACAATGCAGCAGTATGATTGGTCCGCAGGAGCCACCCAATCCAGCTCCAGGTAGAAGTGAATCCACAACCTGATTGGCCTACAGGAGAATCCCAGAATTAGCCAATCACATGCAGCCCATTGTTTAAATAATGTATATAAAGCAGATATTTTGGGGGAACTTTCATTCCTCACTACTATGAGCTGAATAAAGAGCATGAAATCCACACTCGACTCCAAGTATATTTCAGGCCTCATTCATACCATGCATTTAAAGTGCCATGGTACCATTTTAAACCGTCATGGCTTCCCCCAAAGAATTATGAGAGCTGTAGTTTGCTTAAGGTGCTGAGAGCTGTCAGGAGATCCCTATTCCCCTCCCAGAGCTACCATTCCTAGGGAGCTAAAATCCCTCTTCCCAGGGAACTCCTTTCAAGCCTTTCCCAATGCAAGAGCATAAAAAAACCCCAAATAGCCCAGCTGGATCAGGCCAGTGGCTCATCTAGTCTAGCATCCTTTTCTGACAGTGGCCCACCAGGTGTCTATGGGAAGCCCCCAAAAGAGCACTCTTCCCCACTAGTGTTCCCAGTAACTTATATCCGGAAGAATACTGCCTCCACCAGTGGAGTTCAAAGCGTATCATAGTCATTGTGGGTAAGAGCTAGAGACCCTTCCTGAACCTGTCTCACCCTCTGTTAAAGCTACCCAGGTTGGTGGCCATCACAAGTTTTTGCAGGAGCAGGTTCCATATCTACACTGTGCGAAGAAGTCCTAGTGTTTTTTGGGGGTTTGTTGCCTGCCCTGAATTTTCTAAGTTTTGCCATGGTTAGAAATTAAAGAGGAGGCAAAGGCAAGGATGAGAGAATCTGTTTTATTTTTCCAGCCTTACATTTAGTTCTCCACATTTCCACATCAGTTTACGGTTTGGTCGGTGGCCAACACCCACCCCCTGCGAAACATCTTTTGTTTGCAATCAGTGATTCCATGGCAGATGCTCAACTGGTAGACAAGGCAATGCAGAAAACGCTCCCTGAAGACAAGGCAGCTTGGATGCCCTACAGCAGTGTTCCCCAACCTTGGGCCTCCAGCTGTTTTTGGACTACAACTCCCATCATCCCTCGCTAGCAAGATCAGTGGTCAAGGATGGTGGGAATTGTAGTCCAAAAACAGCTGGAGGCCCAAGGTTGGGGAACACTGCCCTACAGGGGGTTGCTGTGAATGGATTGGGGATGAAAGCACGATTGGGACAGTTGTGAAGGGGATTTCACTGGCATGGGAAGGGTAGGGGGCAGGCTTCCTTTGTGTGTTGTGTGTCGACTGCATCGCAAGGTTGCCTTTGCTTCTTAGGAACCAGGTCCTCACACATTCTCATAGCCAGGCCTTGAAGGGCACAAGTGAGCAACAAGGCTGAAGATTCCTGCAATGAGAGAAGGAGAGAGCAAGAAATAAATTCCAAGTGGAATGGCCTCAGGAAGCCAGAGCCAGCCTCACATGGCATTGACACCTTCTGTTTATCAACCTTCTGACTCTCACTGGAGGCTGGGTGCCTCTGAACACGTGCAGAGTTCATTTCTGTCCAAGGGAAAGCATTTGTTTTTTAAAGAGACCTATGGACAAAGTGCTAATGAGCATGTGCGAAGGCCTTCCTTTTGTGTGAAGCGAATGTTTCCTTACTTATCCAGAGACTGCCTATAGGATGGTGGTTGTGCAATGCAAAACCCAGAACCTCAGGTAGCTTGCTGAAGCTCCATTGACAGTGCATGTCACACATGTGAGGTGCTGCTATAGAGCTACCTACTTTGCAGAGCTCTTTGTGGTGGCAGAAGGGCATTGGAATGAGCGTTCACACTGCCTACACAATGCTAGGGGTGTAGGTGAGTCTGTCCATTTTGGTTGCTCATTTTCGCAATCTTAAATTCAGTTCTCTCCAGTTCTGAGAGTTTGTGGAGTTCTCCAGTTAATTCACCGGCATGTTAGTGCAATTTTCTCCTTAAAATATACATGCTTGTATGCAGTTTTCACTCACGCACACATCGTTGCAAAGCAATTTCCTTTGACACAATGCATTCTTGCATGTTATTTTCACTAATACAGTGGACGCTTGGGTCGCAAACGTGATCCGTCCGGGAGGCACATTCGCAACCCGCAGCGTTCGCAACCCACAGTGCCGCGTCTGCGCACGTGCGGGTTGCAATTCACCATTTCTGCGCATGTGCAAAGCATGATTTAGCACTTCTGTGCATGTGTGAGCGCCAAAACCCAGAAGTAACCTGTTCTGATACTTTCAGGTTCAGTGCAGTGCGCAACCTGAAAATGTGCAACCTGAATCATCTGTAACCCGAGGTATGACTCTACACGCATCTTTATGTACATTTCACCTTAGTCAGTACACATTTTTGTACGCATTGCATTGCCGGAGAAATGCATTGCAAAATTTAGAGGAGTGCAAATGTGAAAGGCTGCTTCTGTTTCACCTTGCGTATTGTTTCAGAAAGCGCAAATGGGGCAGGTTTGCCTTTAAATGCGAACTCCCTTCCTCACCCTCCCTACTCACCAGTCAGGAATAGCATGGGAAATGCTACCCAGGCAAGATAGAAGGACCATTCATAGGTGAGCTGGATTTGAGGGTCCCTGTTCTTCCCCCAGGATTCAGTGGTGAATACGACTACACCAACCAGAGTGAAGAGTGCTACAAAAGAGCAGAGGTGTCAGGGCAGCCAACATAGCACTGATTCACACAGGCAATCTCACCACTCAATTATCAAGGGCTGGCTGGTATGTATGTTGCAGATCTAACCCTACTGCCTGGTGTCCATTGATGCTGATAGGACAGAAGGCAGGGAAATGAACAGTAGGTGGCGCCGCCAGAGGCAGTGATGGGAGAGAACCAACTAATTCTGGTTTTGGCCCCTTCCTCCTCCCTGCTTAATTCTACAAGAGAAACACTGAGGCTATGGAGGAGGAAGCCAGCACCTGGGGCCTCCCCCTAGACTGGTCATAAGCCAGAAGGCAGGCAGGTGAGGGCTGCCTGGGGGCAGACAGATTGGCGGGGCAGTGTGCCCCATTGGCTCTAATGGCGCAGCCTCTACTGGATCTAACACCATGGAGAGAATTTTTGTACCTCCTCAATCACAACACAATTTTTGGTGTCCCCGTGTTCTTTTATCATCATTGTCATCTAAAAAGGTCATGGCACTCAGTTCACACATCCAAGTGCAAACTGTAGGTTACTGCGCTAAGGGTGCATGGGTCCTACTACATCTGATGGGTTTCCCCTTTGCTTTCGTTACAGGCATAGGGGTGGTTGGTTTAAATCAGGATTGCAATGTGAGGCTTATCCTATCCTTTCCCAACTATGAAGCTGATGCATAGGCTCTGTCTCATAGGGTAGGGTTGCCATATTTCAAGAAGTAAAAATCCAGACACAAAAAGTTGTTGAGCTTTTTTAGTGGCGATTTCAAAAATCTGGACATTTGGATGATTTCCCGAAGTTCCCCCTAGGCCAGTGGTTCTCAACCTGTGGGTCCTCAGATGTTGTTGGACTACAACTCCCATCATCCCTGAGCTCTGGCCTTGCTAGCTAGGGGTGATGGGAGTTGTAGTTCAACAACATCTGGGAACCCACAGGTTGAGAAAGGCTGCCCTAGACGCTAAGTACGTCATTGGAACCCCAGAGGTATGGCAACCCTACCATAGGGGTGAAGGCAGAGGCAGATTTAGAGCAGCGCAACCGATTCTGCCACACTGGGCGCCTAGCTTAGGGGCCCCCGTGGGGCGTTGCAAACTGTGACATAGCAAACTGAGCAGAATGGAAAGTGAGGGGCAGGCGACAGGGCGCTCTGAATTTTGGCCTTCCACAGGGAGCTACTGAAATTTGAAAAACCAAAGTCCGCCCCTGCTGAGGGCCCTTGTTTTCCTTCCTGCTGGTGTGGAAGCGCCCTTAAAGGGCTTTGAAATGTTTTAAGCTCGGCCTTAGAGGACGAAAACACCCCTCCCCTTTCTATGCTCCAGCAGTCCTTTCCCCCTGACAAGATCCTCTTTCTCAATTCTAGAGCCATGCCTGATCTCTTCGCGGGATAATAATGTAAGAAAAGTCCCACAGCATCAGCTGAAAAGCCCATCTAGTTCAGCGTCCATTTCTCCCAGGGGAAAACCAGGTGCTTATGGGAAGCCCAAAAGCAGGCCCAGAACACAGCCGCCACCTCCTCATTTGCAATTCCCACCAACTGGTTTTGAGGGGTATACTGTCTCCGATAGAGGAGGTGGACCATAGCCATTGTGGCTAGTGGAAGCTGACAGCATGTGGGGCATAGCCATGAGGCTATTTAGCACCTGCGACCGTGAGCAGGTTCTTCCTCATAATCTTTGGCACACCTACCACCTGTGAAGGCAACGATGGACGTGACGAAGACTCCGCCAAGGAAGCCGCAGTCACAAGGCATGAAGGAGGCGGTAAGAGAAATGACCGAGGCCAAAGCTGCCAGGGAGCCCAAGATCAGGAACGCACGTGTGGCAAGGATGTATTCTGTAAATGAAAGCATTGAGGGCAAAGAGTTAGTTGAGCGTGTCTTCATTCCTTGTACCCAGAACCTTCTAGAAGCCTAAAAAAGAGAGAAGAGGTTAGTTATGCCCATTGAGTAGACCCATGGAAGGCAATAGACTTGTGTTACTTGCCATAATTGATCTTAATGGGCATAACCAAGGTTGGATATCACCCATGATATGTTGAAGGTTTAGTTATTAAAGTGTAACTTACCAGTTTAAACTGAAAAGGCTTCAATTTCAAAGTGAAAGAGGACCAAGTGTGAGAAAGAGGATATTTGCCTAAGGTTACAAAATGTAACCTTGGCTTGAGGTGAATATAGTTCCCCCATCTGTTGTTGTTATCATTGTTATCGTTGTTGTTGTTGTTATATCAAAAAGTACACACAGGTCCCGCTACCTAAACGTTCATTATACAAAAATTCACTTATCCAAACAGGTAGCACCCAGACCTCTCTATACTCACCACAGATTCACATATCCAAACTGCCAGACCTGTATGCAGTACTGTAAACAAATAAGCAGCCTTAAACAAACCTCATTTTTGTGTTTTTCTGGCCTGTAGTAACCATTCGTCAGAAATCATGCCGGGTGGGAGGGAGACTGGACAAATAAGAGAGCTCCCCCCCCCTTCCTTGTTTGCCTTTTGCAAGGTTTCAGAGGGTTTTCCTGGGTGTTTTCATCATTACAGGGTCAAAATTCTGTGGTCAGGAATGCATTAGAAAGTTTCCCATAGAAATCAATGGAAATTGTCAACTCATTGTGCAAACACTAACCTAACAAGCGATTTCCTGAGAATGCATTGTGTTCTGATAACTAGTCCTGCGTGTACCACATGCATGGTGGATTTTCTGAGGGGATTTTTTAACCAAGACTTTTTGAGAGTGTCACAGCGGGTGCCACCAGGCACACTGGTGCCCCTGAGCACTTTGTTGATGACCCCCCTTCAACCCATAACCTTTGTGTATTGGGGGGGGGTGTCCCTTGGCAGCTGCCACCATTCTCCTTACCATTAGCCTTGGTTGGGGTCCAGCAGTTCCCATCCATGCACTCCTGCCAGAGGCCACTGTGGGCGATGCCAGCCGGTCCGTAAGCCACTAGCCAGTAATCGGTGGTCAGGGCGATGAACAAAGCAATGATGCTTATGGAAGCCACCGGTATGCTTAAGATTCTGCAGAGCAGCATCCTTACGATTGTATGGAAGAGCCTTGGCAAAATTAACCCCCGTAGGCTGCTTTCTTGCCTGGAAGGACCCTGAGGGCACAATCAAGAGAATGGGATTTAACGCAGAAGCAGAAAGCATGGAAACAACCAAACAAAGAAGCAATCTTGGTGGTATAATTTGGAGCACAAGGTGGGGAGGGATCAGTTCACAGACATTTGTGCCACGGGTAGCGCAGTGAAGGGACCACTAACCAGGTGGAGTAAACTGTATTTTACTAACATTTATTTTAGTATTTACTGCCTTGGATGGGGAAAAAAAGTGGGATTGTAGCCAACTACGTTTTCCCCAGTGTAGACCCATTGAAATTAATGGACCAAACTTCGGGATGTTCACTTATTTCAATGGGTCTACGCTGAGGATGATGCTGTGTAACTTGAAAGACTTATAATAGCATGAATTTCACACATTAAACATTAAACTACCCATGCGTAATTAATAAAACTAAAAAATACCTAGTGCTTAATAGTTTTAGTAATCCCTTGTGGTAAGTTTGATTATTGGCAAAACATCTTCACGTGTATGCAGTTATAATGATTTTAGCTCATATTTACTGTTAATTGCATTAATGTGATTTTGTGAAATCAGGTTTTTACTAGAACCTCAGTTTAATTAGATTGAACTATGGATGAAATTCAAAGACTATTTAGTTAAATATGTTAAGATAACTTAATTGGAAAAAATTGCAAATATCAGATGGGCTTAGTATTTATATACCGTATTTTTCGCACCATAGGACGCACTTTTTCCCTCCTAAAAAGCAAGGGAAAATGTGTGTGCGTCCTATGGAGCGAATGCAGGGGGGGAGGCAGGCGGGAAAAGCCCCCCAAGAGCTGCACACAAGCTCCGTGCGCTCTTGCGGGCTTTTCCACAGGAGGGAGAAGGGTCTGACTGGCCGCATCAGTCCCTTCTCCCACCTCCCAGGAAAGCCAGGAGAAGCCGCGATCTCTTTAAAGGAGTTGCGCGGCTTCTGCGGGCTTTTGCGAGAGGTGAGGGAATCCCCCCACCTCCCAGGTAAGCCAGAAGAAGCCGTGCAGCCCTTTTAAAGTGCGCGCGGCTTCTGCCGGTTTTGCGGGAGGTGGGGGAATTCCCCCACCTCCCAGAAAAGCCAGGAGAAGCCGCGCAGCCCCTTTAAAGAGCTCACGGCTTCTGCGGGCTTTTGCGAGAGGTGAGGGAATCCCCCCCCTCCCAGAAAAGCCAGGAAAGCCCTGCGCAGCGTCTCCCGGCAAGGAGACGCTGCGCGCGGCTAAAGGGGAAGGCAAAACAGCGAGCGGGATCCATCCCGCTCGCTGCCTTGCCTTCTTCCATAGCTGCGCGCAACCCCCCCAAGGAGACGCTGCGCGCGGCTAAAGGGGAAGGCAAAACAGCGAGCGGGATCCATCCCGCTCGCTGCCTTGCCTTCTTCCATAGCTGCGCGCAACCCCTCCGCAAGGAGACGCTGCGCGCGGCTAAAGGGAAAGGCAAAACAGCGAGCGGGATCCATCCCGCTCGCTGCCTTGCCTTCTTCCATAGCTGCGCGCAACCCCTCCGCAAGGAGACGCTGCGCGCGGCTAAAGGGAAAGGCAAAACAGCGAGCGGGATCCATCCCGCTCGCTGCCTTGCCTTCTTCCATAGCTGCGCGCAACCCCTCCGCAAGGAGACGCTGCGCGCGGCTAAAGGGAAAGGCAAAACAGCGAGTGGGATCCATCCCGCTCGCTGCCTTGCCTTCTTCCATAGCTGCGCGCAACCCCTCCGCAAGGAGACGCTGCGCGCGGCTAAAGGGAAAGGCAAAACAGCGAGCGGGATCCATCCCGCTCGCTGCCTTGCCTTCTTCCATAGCTGCGCGCAACCCCCCCAAGGAGACGCTGCGCGCGGCTAAAGGGGAAGGCAAAACAGCAAGCGGGATCCATCCCGCTCGCTGCCTTGCCTTCTTCCATAGCTGCGCGCAACCCCTCCGCAAGGAGACGCTGCGCGCGGCTAAAGGGGAAGGCAAAACAGCGAGCGGGATCCATCCCGCTCGCTGCCTTGCCTTCTTCCATAGCTGCGCGCAACCCCTCCGCAAGGAGACGCTGCGCGCGGCTAAAGGGGAAGGCAAAACAGCGAGCGGGATCCATCCCGCTCGCTGCCTTGCCTTCTTCCATAGCTGCGCGCAACCCCCCCCCCCCAAGGAGACGCTGCGCGCGGCTAAAGGGGAAGGCAAAACAGCGAGCGGGATCCATCCCGCTCGCTGCCTTGCCTTCTTCCATAGCTGCGCGCAACCCCTCCGCAAGGAGACGCTGCGCGCGGCTAAAGGGGAAGGCAAAACAGCGAGCGGGATCCATCCCGCTCGCTGCCTTGCCTTCTTCCATAGCTGCGCGCAACCCCCCCCCCCCCAAGGAGACGCTGCGCGCGGCTAAAGGGGAAGGCAAAACAGCGAGCGGGATCCATCCCGCTCGCTGGCTTGCCTTCTTCCATAGCTGCGCGCAACCCCCCGCAAGGAGAGGCTGCACGGGGCTATGGCTTCTTTAGCCCTGCGCAGCGTCTCCCGGCAAGGAGAGGCTGCATGGGGCTAAAGGGGAAGCCAAAACTTGGCTTGCTGCATAGCTGCGCGCAACCCCTCCGGCAGGGAGAGGTTGTGCGCACCCTGTACGCTGCTCTTTGGGGTTGGGGGGGGGAAAAGATTTTTTTCTTGATTTCCCCCCCTAAAAACTGGGTGCGCCCTATGGTCCGGTGCGCCCTATGGTGCGAAAAATACGGTATGTATTGTTAGAGAATAACATGTTTAAAGTTAAAATGAAAAGAAAGAAAGATGTTAAGTGATTAAGTTAATTTTATGAGAAAATTGGTTTTGGAAAACTGTTACAATGATATACACTGAAATTCAGCCAGGGGGATTTGAGGAAGTCACTTAACAATGTTACTAAGATTGGATTAAGTACAATTAAGATGTATGTATGTATGTATGTATGTTTGTTTGTTTGTTTGTTTGAAAATTTCGGAAAACCAATAATAATTTTTTTGAAAACAATAATAATTAGATTGAACTAACTAACCTTCATAAAGCCATAGTCGGGTATTTGTGACTTTTCTTATTGAATTCTAAATCCAAATCTGTGGTTCTGATTTAAATAAATAGCAATAGCAATAGATAGCAACATGATTCAGGGGAGGGGGAGTACAATAGATTCCCTGAGATCCAAGTCCTTAGGCCCTTGGAGCCAGTGTGGTGTAGTGGTTAAGAGCAGTAGTCTCGTAATCTGGGGAACCGGGTTCGTGTCTCCACTCCTCCACATGCAGCTGCTGGGTGACCTTGGGCTAGTCACACTTCTCTGAAGTCTCTCAGCCCCACTCACCTCACAGAGTGTTTGTTGTGGGGGAGGAAGGGAAAGGAGATTGTTAGCTGCTTTGAGACTCCTTCGGGTAGTGATAAAGCGGGATATCAAATCCAAACTCTTCTTCTCTTCGTCTTCTGTGAGTACACACTGGAAGGTGACATTTCTACAGGTATGGTGTCAGTGTGTATCATTCTTGGGCAATATGCAGAGTTCGTAGCTTGGGCCACCAATAAAATTTCCCAGGCTGCCTTGGAGAAACCTGCTGCTGTTACCTGCGGCTGGCTGTGGGGCTCTCCAAATAGTGTTTTGCTGCAGGACCCCTCCACCTTGGGGATGGTCCTCCACGGGGTCCCCCAGAACAAAGTTTGAAAGCCACTGGCTGGATAGGCGAGATTGAAATGTGCTCAGTAAATAAAACTGTTTCTTTCTGGAGGGACATGATGAGGGGGGTTGAATTCAGTGGTTATGATGACAGCTCACAGAGTCAGGTTCATATTTAACCTTAAGCCACTTCCTGGAGCCTTCACACTTTGAGTGTTGATAACATCAAAGGAACTTTGCTTCTGAGTCCTGGTCTCTGCATGCAGCAGGACGAGGTGGTAGAATAGACTGCACCGCTTCAGACCTCAGAAGTGTGTGAGTGTGTGGGGGAGGGGTTACATATTTAATATATCCGTTGCAGTCAAAAGTCCCTGCAAAGAGAAACCCAGCATGGAAGGCAAAGGGCTGGCCTTGAACGTTTCCTATTGAAGTGTTACCACTTCAGTTTTCAAAGAAATAACTGTGTGCTAGCATTCAGAATGCTGGTGGCACAGTGGGTTAAACCACAGAGCCTAGGGCTTGCAGATCAGAAGGTCGGCGGTTCGAATCCCCACGACGGGGTGAGCTCCTGTTGTTCGGTCCCAGCTCCTGCCCACCTAGCAGTTCAAAAGCACGCCAGCGCAAGTAGATAAATAGGTACCGCTCTGGCGGGAAGGTAAACGGCGTTTCCGTGCACTGCTCTGGTTCGCCAGAAGCGACTTAGTTATGCTGGCCACATGACCCGGAAGCTGTACGCCGGCTCCCTCGGCCAATAAAGCGAGATGAGCGCTGCAACCCCAGAGTCGGTCACGACTGGACCTAATGGTCAGAGGTCCCTTTACCTTTACCTAGCATTCAGAAGCTAGCATTCAGAAGTTATTTTTCAATGGGATGGTACACATATCAATCCAGTAGTTTTCCCCTCCTGAACTACATTTCCCACCAACCTTAACAAAAGAGTTCCCAGGATTCTTTGCAGGAAGTCATGTGCATTAACTGTGGCTTTAAGTGTATGTTGTGTATGCAGCCTCAATCAAATTCAGGTCGAAGAACAGATAACCTCAGATATTCTGCAACCTTTCAGTGGACCACCAGTGGTCCATGGGTTACATCTGAAGACCTCTGGTCTACAGTGGCTCTCCAGAATTCCAGTCTGTCTTTCCTAGGCCAACCCTGAGATGAATCTGGCTCAGTATTGTCAACAGTACACTGTTGGAAATGAGCTGTCCAGGTTTTTAGACAGGCCGTGTTCCCACCCCTGTCTGGAGATTCTGGGGATCAAATCTGGGACTTGCTTCTCTTCCACTGAGCTCAGGGGTGCCAACTTGAATAAAATACAGTGGGGGCCCAGGTAAGCCCCGCCCTGCATAATCAGTCCCATGATGCAGTGCACACACACCATTTGAATGGGAATGCCCATCAGCTTTGTGGGGATCCGGCCTCTTCAAATATTTTATTGTGGGGGCTAAAGCCCCCATGGCCCCTAGGAGTTGGCTCCTATGACTGAGCTACAATTCTTCCCCTTTAATTCAGCCCATTTCCTGGGCAGCAGCAGGCAATATAAAATCCAATAACTGAAACAACAGCTCTATGTGCCTTAAATGTGCCTTGAATGTATGGTGTGAATTCAGCCTTATGCCAACTTTTACTCATGCCATGATCTACAGAAATAACCCATAGAAAAAGTTCAAATCAGCACACACACCATTGCAAAAGACAGCAGTGGGCAATCCTATGGCATTTTTATCCACAGTGTAAGAAGAACGAATTTTGCAAATGCCAAAATCTCGCCACTGCAGGAGCAAAGGAAGCCGTTCCTATCGGAATCTTTATCTCAGCACAACTGTTAGGGATGTCCTCTTCGCCTCTCCTGCAGCAATAGGGACTTTTGCACCCCAAGCAGGCTGAAGGAGGGATGGGGCTTTGTGAACTGGGCAGAAATATTTGTCGATAATCACGATGCAGAAAGCATATAAGGATGACACCCAAGAGGATCGCTTGTGCAGGTCAATTCTCTATCCTGGGCAGCTGTCTCCCAGCTTCATCTGGTATGCAGCTGAGACCCCACCTGCCCGTGGACTGTCTTGCCAGAGTAGAGCATGGTCTGGCTATCTCCCGCTTGGACTACTGCTATGCGCTCTATGAGAGGCTACCTTTGAAGGTAACTCAGAAACTACAACTAATACAGAATATGGCAGCTAGACTGGTGACTGGGAGTGGCCGCCAAGACCATATAACACCAGTCCTGAAAGACCTACATTGGCTCCCAGTATATTTCCGAGCACAATTCAAAGCGTTGGTGCTGATCTTTAAAGTCCTAAATGGCCTCAGCCCAGTATACCTGAAGGAGCGTCTCCACCCCCATTGTTCTGCCCGGAGACTGAGGTCCAGCTCTGAGGGCCTTCCAGTGGTTCCCTCACTGCGAGAATTGAAGTTACAGAGAACCAGGGAGAGGACCTTCTCGGCAGTGGTGCCCTCCCTGTGGAACATCCTCCCACCAGATGTCAAGGAGATAAAGAACTACAAAGCTTTTAGAAGATATCTAAACGCAGCCCTGTATCGGGAAGTTTTTAATGTTTGACGTCTTACTTTGTTTTTATATTTTGCTGGAAGATGCTATTGGAA